CAACGAAAGCTCTCTGAAGCTAGCCCATTAACCGAAAGACAGGCAACTCCTTGCTCTGCGTGCACCTGCTGCTTACATGACAACAACTAAAACAACTTACCAGATGTTATTCTGCCCTTTAAAAAAAAAAAAAAAAAAAAAAAAAAAAAAAAAAAACTAAACAAGTAATTAACAAACAAAAGAACCTTAAATGGAGCAAATCCATTTAAGTGAACCAACTAAATAGATTCTATCTTCATAAAACACTGATGAAGATGAGAGGACCATCTTGTAGTAGCCTATTGAAAAGAAAAATGTATACATAAAATATATAAATATAATATAAATATCCTAAATTGACAATTTTTTCCTCACAGGTTTGTTTGCAACACATCATCAGCTGCAATTTGTCAAAGTCACATGAGTATTTTATCATTTATCATGTGTTTTATTGTTGACATGTTGCACTGGCATATTTTCCTTTCCTATTCACCACAAAGCACATAGATCTGTTTGTGGCTAGACTGATAGATAGATGCTGAAGTTGGAATATTAAAGAATAAGATGGAGAAAAAAAAAAAAGCTTTCCTAAACTGTCATTAAACAAATACACTTACAGCGACAAACAATACACTTGCTCAAAGAACTGTGTTAGGCATTTGTTCAACTCAAACACTGGGCCAAGCAATAAAAAAATAAATAAAATCCCACCCTTGTGACGCTCTTCTCTCCCCTCAACTGAATTTACAGTTCAGGATGATCACTCACTGTGTCCTGTTTCAACAGGAATTACATCACCTTCAAGCAGTAAAGACGTCATTTCATTAGGCTTTTAAATGTATTACCACCAAGCAAAACCAGGGTGAGTTTAGAATCGCTGAACAAAACACTTTGTGGCTGTTTAAATGAAAAAACAGGTTTTAACCTGGGTGACCTAGGCCTAATCCTTCAGGAGTTTTATTTGTCCAACCCAAAGTATGATATGGAGATATGAGAAAAATTCACAATGGAAGTATTATGGACTTAGGGTTAACCATTAAGCAGCAAGAGTAACATTTTTTATTGTAAAACGAAGATAAGGAAACACGGCTTTGCTGCGTTTGTCAAAGGCTATTGTCAAGTCTTTGCTTTTTTTCTGTCCTCGAGTGGCACAACAAACTGCCAGGACAGTGTATCTGTATAGCAGCACTACTTTGGCACCACAGTGTGAGAAAACACCAGTACAGTAGAGGGCCTTTGTTAGAGCAAACCTTATCTTTGCTTCTAGATAAGGTCTGTTGTAAATGATCTTATGTGGAATTTGATAAATTAAATCTAATGGTCACCAACACAGGATTTCAACACCTCAGTGGAAACATACCACTGTAGTAAGACCCTGTGCCGTGCTGCGATTTGTGTACTGTATATATTGAAGATCAGCCTTACATAACAAAATATGCATTTAAATAGATGAATGAACAAAAACTGCAATGTATGTGCATGTAGTTTGAAGAGACTGTAGACACTGAAATGTTAGATAATGCATACCACCGTCAGTATTATCATGAATACCTGGCTAATGATCAACAAACAGCTGGCTACCAGCTCATAGGTTATGGACCTGCAACAAAGACAAGTGGCAGCTGACAGGTCCTTGTATTTGTTAACATGATTATTCTTACAGCAAGGATGGCCTTTGAAGGCTAATCAGATACTGCATTTGTTTTACTACATGACAATGCCAGCCATCAAATTCAAGGTTTGAGTTTTGAGGCAGCAAAAGCCTTGTCTGTGTTTCAACAAGCAGGCTGGAGGACATTCACCTGGCTACTGTATAACTACCTGATCACAGGACAGATTATTCTCTCTTTGAGAGGGGTGCATCCTGTCAGGGTTAGCTAAGATAGGTCAGGTTTGTGTGGGTTTTTTTTTTTATTTTATTTTATTTTTTTTAAATGTCAGGTAATCTACACAGACGCAGAAATATGTCCAACTCAGTTTTCAGTCTGAATTGATTTAGTTTAAAGATTAGTAGCTATTCAGTTGAGATGGACAAGATCTGCACTCCATGCATAATTTCATGCTGTCATTGGTGTGTTAAACCCACAAAGCATTCACGTATGTAATTCAGGTGGCTCTCTCAAAAAAAAAAAAAAAAAACTACCTGACGACCTGCTGCTGTTTTCACTTGAACGCTGTTTGCGTCATGGTTTCCTGAGATTTCTCTGAGCTGCTTCTCTTGACAGCATTTCCCACAGAGGTGACTAACAATAAAAATAATAATGAAAAAAAAAAAAACACACACAACTGGAAGGACTAGGGCATGGATGGACCTGTTAAAAAATTCCTAAAAATCAAACCTAGAGATTAGCTCCGCATCTATCTCTCATCTTAACAGGATTAAATTACGTTGGGAGTTAAGTGGGGTATAGTAATCTGATTAGTGAAGTGGTGAGAAAATGAAAACGCCGATATGTTGAGTGTGCACCGGACTAATCCCTCGTCCGTCGAGGCGCTGAAGGTGCTCTGCTCCGCAACAAAAGATGCGACTGCTGCTGCTGTTGCACTGCAGCTGTTACGTTAAATCACATTGGAAACGGCAAAAGAATGTATCCAGGTTATCAATTTATACGTTTAAATGTATTAGACTGCGATATATTTGGATGTTCTGGCGATTTCAGACAGACAAGAGCCAATCGAGCAACACTAACATGTAGCCGTGTACAGCTGTTGATGTGAAACCTACCGAAAACACAGACAGCTGCTCAAACGTCCAGTTATCGTCAAATAAAACCCAGTATTGTGTCACAACACGAATAAAGTCACAACCATTACTAAACCAGCAGCGTCTGTGTGAGGCTGTAATGTTATAATTTCACTGTTAAAACTGACTGAATCAATTTAAGACTCAAGACAGCATCAGAATGGGACCTCAACGGTTCGCTCGGCAGCTAGCAGCACTGTTAGCATGCTGTATGGGGCCCCACAGACAGAAGCAGTAACTTGCACAAACAAAGACACTTACCTAAGTTAATGTGGAGTCAGTGTCTCATGTGATGTTGATGTCCAGGTTACGGGCGAGGTGCTACTATCAAAAAAATATTTCGAGAAGTGGGCATTAGCTTCCTGACGGTAGTTCAGTAGGATTTTTTTTTTTTTGCTAGTGTTAGCAGCTAGCTAATGTTGCCCACTTAAAGAGCAACTCGAAACTGGCCCAGTACACAGTCTCCTCGGCGAGCCGTCCTCAAGTTGTTTAACGTTGTCGTCCCCGCTTGTTTTCAGACTTGGAAGTATCTACCTTCCATGTGTTACTCAAAGAAACCAACCGAAGACGAATACAAGAGCAAAATGGTCCTTACTTGGTAAGATTTAATGACACGGAGTATTAAAAAAAAAAAAATCCAAAATGTCCACACGACATTCAGCAAGGAAATACAAAAGGCAAAATTGCGTACGACCTCCGACAGAGCGAAGCCTTTTCCTTTAAAGTGTGCCGCACCCAGATGTTTTCACTCATAATTTCCTTTCGCTTGATCATTTGCAATAAATGCAGCTTTGGCTGAGTCGAGTTGAGCTACATTCAGGCTGTTAGCAGGACGTGAAGCGGTGGGTTTCTTCTCCGCGACCTCTGCGCCTACATGTAGGGGTAGGCTGTCCACCAGAAGTCGCCTTTCCAGCTTCACCGAGCCCCAGTGTGATGATGCTTTCACTATCTCACCCAGACACTTTTAGTGAATCCCCCTTATCTCCCTCAATCCACCGGCTTGACTCTTTTTCTTTTTTTTTTTTTTCTTTTTCTGATTACATCCAGGTTAGGTTTTCACACGGACCGCATACGACGATGAATATGTGAACCAGACAAAAAAGATAATACATTTTACTTAACCCATCTACATGTATCCATAAAGATGTTAGCGCACTTTGCAACATTTGATCATGTATGGAGGTAGAAGTACAACAAAGAGGGTTTCATTCTATTTAAATAAAGAAATTATAGTTACATCAATCATTAAATTCATTTTTCTTAAACATGTTAAACTAAGAAACTGGCCTTTGCGATCCTGGAGCGACCCCTGGTGTACATTTAACTTTTTATCTTGCAGGGAGAATTTCAAATATGGAAGTCCTCAAAATATGAAAACTCCCTTATTGCAAAACATGTTTTCCCAAATCCTTTTTTTTCCCCAGAGGAGAGATCTGGAGATATCTCAGAGGTATTTCATTACATGAGCCTCTTGCCTTTTGAGCTAAGAGACCCACACATCATGTCAGCATTCAGTTAGTCTGAATACAGTTGAAAGCATCCTACACTGTATATGTGTGTGTATATATATATATATATATATATATATATATATTCATTCATATATATATTATATTCACTCATTCATTCAACATTTGCTCATCTTTTTTTTCAAATAGGACTGGGGGCTATTATTTTCATTATTGATTAATTTATTCATTATTGCTTTGGTTCATAAATTAATAATTTATTCATTGGTCAATACAATGTCAGAAAGTAATGGAAAAAGCTGTTACAACTCCCAAGAGTCCAAGGTTACATATTTAAATGTCCCATCAATAGTTCAGAACAGTCCATACAGTTAGTTTACAATTATTATACAACTGAGAAAAGCAGCAAATCCTCACATTGGAACCTGTAGTACAAAAACCCTGAACACTGTAATAACGTTCTTAATGTAAAGCCATTTTCCTACTGACATGGACCCGCATCCAGCTGCTTTGACAAAATGACTCTTAGAAGCTATATTGAATTAAACTGTTTGTATTTCCTGTGATTTAATCAGTCCCTTGCATTGAAAGAAAGCATCCTGGCACGGTGCACGTCCGAGGAAGGTTTCCAGCATGTCTATCCCATCCTCAGAGCCGCCAGCTTCCAGAATCACGCTTCTGTACTCTTTTCCAACCTGTGTTAAGGCGCAGATGGGCCGATCAAGACATTTTCCACAGAAACGAGATGAATAATTACAATCAAATGCGTAAAAGGTAATCTATCAGACCAACCTTTGGATTCATAATGCCTTCCTTCTTAAAACGACTGAAAAAAATGTCCATGGAGTAGACTTCGCTCCACAGATAGCTATAATACTGACCATCGTATCCTCCAGCCAGGTGGCTGAAACTGGCCGTCATATTGGTGCCTGTAGAGAAGGCAATAGACAACACAAATCTTCATGCATATATTTCTCTCTGTATCTGCTAAATAGTCACATTCGCCTTCCTGTGCTACTGATAATAATGTTACAACTGACCTGGTGTAGCAGGAACACCCAGGATGTCCTGGCAGTGTTTTGCAAACACCTCAGCCGTATCTGCGTGAGAGCTGCTGTGTAGTGACTGGTCAACTTTACTGAGGACCACCTGACGCAGGTTCATCAGACCTGAGGGGGATAAACATCATCACCGTGAGTGTGTTCGCATGCTGAGAAAATCAACACATCAACAAAGACTTGATTTTGTGCAATGATGTTTGAGAGTTTGATGGGTTTTATTTTGTGAAAATCCAAGCGTCTGACCGGTGTTGGCTACTCTGGAGGCGATCAGTTTGTCGAGCAGGATGTCTGGGATTGGGCTGCCGTCCTTGTAGTGGCCAGACATTCTTCTCAGAGGCTCCTTCTCCCAAACCCAGTTCTCAAGCATCTGCGAAGGCACCTCCACAAAGTCCGTCTCCACCAGGGTTCCACTGAACTCTGAAAAAGTGGTCTGACACACACGGACGGGAAAAGTTCAGGCTCACTCCTTCTAATTACAATACTGTAATGGAGCTGCTGATAGCACATCCACGGTGGCCTACCTTGGAGCAGAGCTCGTGCATCACATGACCGAACTCATGGAAGTAAGTCTCCACTTCATGGTGCTGGAGGAGAGACGGCATGCCTTTTCTGGGTTTGGTAAAGTTGGCCACCATAGCCGCCACTGGGAGCCTGCGTTTTCCATCAGCTCCTCTGCAGCCAGGCTGGAGCCCAAAACAGGCTGCATGGCCGTACTTTCCCTCCCTGGTGGAGAATAAGGTTTGTGCAGTGTCGCACATCAACATTAAGATAAACGAATCCTTTTTTTAAATATACATTTTTATGAACGGAGGGGAATGAGGATGATTCCTTGTCTCTACCTTGGATGTAAGTCCAAGTAGAACTGGCCGATCTCCTCCCCTGTGTCGGAGTCGTGGGCCGAATAAAGCTTGACATTTTCATGCCACACGTGAGCGTGTTCCACCTCGGTGAACGTGAGGCCCAGCAGCTCCTGGTAAATACCAAACAATCCTGCCGTCACCACTTCAAGCGGGAAATACTCGATCAGTTTGTCCTTGTTCACAGCGAACTTGCACTGCTCCACTTGGTTCATGTAGTAGGGCAAATCCCAGGCATTGATCTGCCCATCAAACTGGTATCCCTTCATCAGGCACTCCCTCTTTTTTAGTGCAAGAATGTATTTCCTCTCCTTGATTCCAACGGGCTTCAGCGTTTCATAGAAAGTATCTGTACAGCAGGAAAAGGAAGGACACTGAGTTTGATATCTCGGTTCTCACATACCACAGATCAATTATATTCCTTCTATGTAGAAGTTTTACTAGAGACCCTTTCACTTTTGCACTATAATAAGAAATTGACCCCACACATTTCACCGCTTTCACTTTCTAAAACGTGACCTGTTGCTTTCACGAGCCATAAATGACCGTGTTACGCCACATGCAAGAGGCATGTCGTGCAACACACACTACAAGACATGCAACAGGCATGAGTGTCACATTTCTCTCTTCTAGCTGAGTCTCTATCTGCTCTCCCATCCATCTGCCCAGTAAAGTTTATTTTTCTACTGCAAAGCCGTCGTCAGGTGGCGTAAGGCTTCACCTTAAATAACGCAGAATGTTTGCATGCGAGCGCACGTGCCTCGGATGTCATGGCTTGTTATACCTAGAAAGTCCGACACATTGCTTGCATTCTTGGCCATGTTGATTTCCAGCACGTAGTTCGCATGGCTGCTGTAACCAAGTAAGTCTGCGACCTTTGCCCTCAGATGTACCAACTGTTCGAGGATCGCTGTGTTTACCTGGGAAAAAGAAAGGCAGATGTATACAATGGGTGCGCACAAAATATCTAATTCGGCTCATTGAAGTTGTAACCCTTAAGATTTAAGTCCTTTGACAGCGTCACAATAAAAGCCATCTGGTATTTTGACAGTTGAACACCTTCAATGTGAACTAGCAGCAGTAGATGTTTGCATTTGCAGTAGGGCTGAACAATTGATAGAAATATTATGAAAACTGCAATATCCAAATTACAGGGGCTGCAATTTTTTTTTAAATAAATGTATGTGAAACGTGTCACAACAGACCATAAAGGACATGACATAAAAATCACATCATCATCTTTTTTTTAACCTTTTTTTCCACTGACAATGAAATTAAAAATGACCATTCCAACTGAAATTGCGACTCATCACAATCACAATATCTGCCAAAATAATTGCAATATGTTTTGTTTTGGGTTTTTTTGCATATCTTTTAGCCCTAGTTTGAAGTAATTGAATACGGGTCTGATACAACTATAGGAGAGTGAGCAGTGGACAGGAGGCTCACTGGGATAAAGCATGCATCTATTTCTCTGTTGCTCCTCATGCATAGGTTGTTCATTTGAACCCAGCCCAGACTATAACACTGAAAATACCACACAGAGAGGTAATTACTGAATGTAAACAATTCAAGTGGTTACCGCTGAAAGAAAATGAAATAATAATGTTTGTTAAAATCTTCAGGGTTACAAGTTTAAGCATTTAGACAGTGCTGCAGGTGCAAAGGCCTCAACTGCCGTGCAGAACAGAGAGAGGACTTGCTGTGATTGGGGAAAGTGTAGGTTCCACAGATTCAGTCTCCGACTCCAGTTACCTCTTTACACCTGCTGTGAAAAGCTGTTTCCATCTTCCTCCTGGTCTCGGGATTGTGACACCTCTTCATCAGGGGGTAGTAATGGGGATATTCAAGTGTCACTTTATACCGCCCGCTTGCCGCCCTCTCCAGGCCATTCAGATAACTATGAGCTAGCCCAGCTTAACAGAAGAGGAGAACGGCATGAGTGAAAAAATAGTCATTGCACACTCATAACATCAGACAGTCCATCACACTCTGTTTTTATAAGCTTACCCAATTCATGCTCAGAAAATACAAGAAACGTATTGTCCTCATTTAGATTCTTGTTAAACTCTATGGAGAGTTCACTAATGAGCTTAGAGGTTCTTTTTATTTCCTTGAGAGAGAAAAGAAGCACAGTAAGAAAATCAAGTCAGGAAAATTACATTTGATTTCCAGGATGTGATATAATAAGCAGAATTTATAATCCAAATACAAACAAATGATTTGTCTTATAATGCACAAATGAACAGTAGACCATTAAATTTAAATTAAGCACGCATATAGACCCTATACTAAAACATTTTTTTTCTCCAATATAAAACAGAAATGTTTATTCATCTTGTATCTAGAAGGCATGTATATCTTTATTTGTGATATACCTGCAATAGTCTATATGGTCAAAAGTAAGTGTGTGCAGTTTTTAAAGCAGCTCATATATTGCATTACCTCTTGTATATCTTTAGACAGGTGCAGCCCTCTCCGCTTGCCTAACGTTACAAGCCTGTCTAAGAGTCTCTTTTCTTCAGGTGAAAGGTTTTCTTGGAGATTTTTCTGTCAAAGCACAATCACATAAAACAAACACACGTCTTCATATAGGCAGAATTAAGAGCTAAATTTATTCACCTATCAATGTCAGCCAGCCAGCCCTGCATGGAAATAAAATATGGCATTGGCCACCGCTGATTAGATCAGATTAAGTTTCTTTCCCAGGCTAAATAAAAACCAGTGATGGGTCAAATGAATCTTAACATTAAACACGCCAGTCTTTGCACATATATCATATTTTGCCCTTTGGCTGACATAAAAGGTGAAAATAATCTATCATCAGCATAGCTACTGTGATAATTCCATCAAATCTTCACACATTAGACTTAAGTAGCTTCAAATCCATATCTTTTTAAGGGTTGGGATTACTGTCAAACCTCATTTATTGTCTTTGTGGACAAGTGGCCTGATTAAACGTTGTGAGTGAAGTGTATATTCAGGTGGATGTGACACGAGGCGTACCTGCAAGGCAGTAATTCGCTCGAACACGTCCTCCCTCATACTTATCTCCACATCGAACTCAGACAGTTTTTTGTCAGCGTCTGTGCTCGCGGACCGAACCTCCTTAGAAGGACAAACGTACTGGGGGAAATCAAGAACATGGCGCGATGCTAAGGGAACACAATAAACACAGAGGGACGCAGTGAACGTTATTGTGATTTGTACAACATAGCAAATTAATATAAGGAAGAACAGCGTGATACATTTTTTTAAAAGTAAGGCTGGTGTTTGTATAAATTTTTCTTGTCAACAAATCTACAAATGAGTCTGTCACTCAGCAGTTTCTGATTTCCCTTCTCCTCTCTGTGGCGTTCCAACCAGAAGACAAAAATCTTTAAAAAAGACGTCAAAAATATAAAGTTTCCTTTCTGAACTAGACACCATCTTGTGATGGGATCACACCAGCTGCGATGCCCATCTTCGAAATTTCATTTTGATCTCATCCACGCACCTGTAAAGCTTTGTGAGTTGTGTGATTCCTGCTACAGTAGGTGTCACCACGTGTGGCCATGATGACACACACACACAGACTCTAAAACAGCTGGGCATTGTAGTTTTAAGCAAACTTCTCTCGGGAGTAAATAGTAAATTGGCTGGGGACTATTTTCAGCTGTGGATGAACACACATTTGTTGCTCCAAAAAGTGTTTACGGCACCGTAAACACTTGGATTTGATGACAACAAGAAAAATACAGAATATCACCAGACTTTAACTTTAAAAAAAACTTACATGCATAATCCAGTTTGGCATTAGCCAAGGCTTTCAGGGTGTTTTCAACAGAAACGTTAACTATGTTTAAAGATCCAATTTCATCATAGACCTTCTTTACTCTGTTAATCACGCTGTCAGTCATGGTCCGGATCTCCTCTGGAGACAGGTCCCATCTCAGTGTGTTTCTCTTGTTTCCAGCCTGAGAGCAGTCTCTGGCAGAAACCACAGAGCCGTTATGGATGGTCATTCTCAACACAGGTTTAGACAAGCTGTAACAGAAAAAAAAGACAGTTTACAGTTTAATTAACATCTAAATAAAATGGTGTTATATTTCCTATGAAGAACTCAATGACTAAAAATAACAGGTGGCACTAATACAAGGCAATAAATTCTTCAAGGTCACACTTGAAACGTGCTCTGAATTTTTCCCCATGCTAAGCGGTGACCTTTTCCCAGTGTCCACTCAGTGTAGGGTTTCATGGCTTGGCAGCGGAAGCATTTCAAAGCTTAGATCATAAAAGCGCGGAATAATTTGTAGAGGAGCTATGACAACTCACAGCCAAAACCTACAAACAGCTCAGATATTTTCTCATATCATTTTAATATCCTTTTTTATGATTAATAGTGCGCGTATAAATAAAATACACAGCAATTACGAATTAAGAAGAAGATGAATGCAACTCCCATTTGTCACACAGGTGTTAAATAAACACACTAAGCACAGCAGCTGTTTTACTGGAGCGTACCTGCAGAGCGTGCGGGTGACTGCGACTCTTAACGCGCACATGCCACCGGTTTCATGCGTTTATTTCCTCCCGTGCAATAAAACAAACACTTTTCTTCTCTTACTGTCCCGTAGCTCAGTCCCAAAACAGGCAGCAGTAGTCTCTCTCTCTCTCTCTCTCTCTCTCTCTTTCCCTCGCAGGAGGAAAATGCTGCTTCTTATTTCCGCTGTCAACGCGCATGCGCAGAGCAAGAGGAGGAGGAGGATGCGATCAATCCGACACAAGTCCTCATGACGCGGTAGCAGCAGACAGCTGGATAAGAGCTCAGGTAGGTGGGCGGGGGTTGGGGAGGTGGGGGGGGGGGACACTGAATAGCATCCTTTAGACACTATGTTATTTATAAATTGGTTATCATAGGGTTTGTAGGGTTCTTAGTCTCACCTTTGTGTCGTTGTTTTGCTGCCGGGAGGTTGTGATTGTTGCAGCCAGCATCACACAGGCTGCACAGGCGAGCCTTGTTGTGCGCACGGTTGGTAGGGACAGGCTATCAGAAAATACACCCAGCTAATTCAACCAGTGGCATCGGCTGGATTAGCTTCAGTGCATTGTGTTTAAGACAATATAAACCCTGTATAATGATTGAAAACACCCCTCGACTCCCATTATGGTATTACATCACAGCTTCTGCATCACTGCATGTACGTGTGTCAACACACCGAAGGGGGGGGGGACCCAGCTAATTCAACCAGTGGCATCGGCTGGATTAGCTTCAGTGCAGTTG